TCTGCGTTAGTGCACCCAGTGGCATCGCCTGGGAAGGTTCTCTCTGGTCACAGTGAATTTTTTCGTAAAAGCAGTTTTGCTTGAATCTTGTGTTTTGTGATGGCTGATTTAAGCGAACAGTGTGCGGCTGTGAAATTGTGTTTCCTGCTCGAGAAAAATGGCACAGTACCTGTTGTGATGTTGAACACAGCTTACAAGTATATGAGTTGTGTTCTCATTTCAAAAGAGGTGAAATGTCAATAGATTACAAACTTTGTTCTGGATGTCTGTCACACAAACAAAAATGTCGGCTCATAGTACATTTGTTCATTCTACCGAGTCAGACCGCTCATCAAGCTTTCTATTTAGAGGTTCTGAAGAGATTGCACAATGGTTTGTGACCCAAAAGGCCTGATGTATGGTAGATGGGAGACTGGTTTTGCCACCATGACAATGTACCTTCTCACACAGCCATCTCAATATGCCGGTTCTGGGCAAAAAACAGCATGTCCCTCTTGCCCCACACACCTTACTCATCTGAACTTGCTCCATGCAACTTCTTTTACTTTCCAGGAATGCAGAGGGACATGAAAGGACAGCAATTTGACAATGTAGAAGAGGTGAAGAAAAAAATGTGAGAGGCACTGTCAGCCATCCGAACAGATAAGTTTGGAAAATGTTTCCAAGAATGGAATCCCAGATTTGACAAATGTATTAAGCATAACGGAGAGTACTTTGAAGGTGATAAGGTTGTTTTGTTCAAAAAAAAATTTTTTTGAAAAAAAATTATGGGTTTTTTTGGGTACCCCCTCATAGTCTTTGGTCCTTAGGCATTGTATCTTTTTTTTTTTTTTCAAGAACATTTGTGCATTTATTGCCATCATCATTCTCAAAACATTTGCTTTCTCTTGAGTCCTTGGTATTAGCTCCTCATTTTTCCCCTCCCTCCCCACAGGCCCTCCCTCAAGAATCTGATCATCTATAAATTATTATTACTTTGTCATGTCTTACACTGTCCCATGTCTCCCTTCACCCACTTTTCTGTTGTCCATCCCCCAGGAAGGAGGTTATATGTAGATCCTTGTAATCGGTTCCCCCATTCTACCCCAGCCTCCCTTCACCCTCCTGGTATCGCCACTCTTACCACTGGCCCCAAAGGGCTCATCTGTCCTGGATTCCCTGTGTTTCCATTTCCTATCTGTACCAGTGGACATCCTCTGGTCTAGCTGGATTTGTAAGGTAGAATTGGGATGATAGTGAAGGGGAGGAAGCATTAAAGAACTAGAGGAAAGTTGTATGTTTCATCACTGCTACACTGCACCCTGACAGGCTTGTCTCCTCCCCACGACCCTTCTGTAAGGGGATATCCAGTTGCCTACAGATGGGCTTTGGGTCCCTAATCCACACTCCCCCTCATTCACAATGATTTAATTTTTTGTTCTTTGATGCCTGATAACTGATCCCTTTGGCACAGGGATAACTGATCACACAGACTGGTGTGCTTCTTCCATGTGGGCTTTGCTGCTTCTGAGCGAGGTGGCTGCTTGTTCATCTTCAAGCCTTTAAGACCTCAGACGCTATATCTTTTGATAGCCAGGCACCATCAGCTTTCTTCACTACATTTGCTTATGCACCTGCTTTGTCTTCAGCAATCCTGTCTGGAAGGTGAGCATCATTGAATGCCGATTTAATAGAACAAAGTGTTCTTGCATTGAGGGAGTACTTGAGTAGAGGCCCAATGTCCATCTGCTACCTTAATACTAAACCTATAAATATATACACATAAGTCTATTTCCCCACCATCCTATATAAATATATTTACATATGTATATGCCTGTATTTAGACCTCTATAAATGCCCTTTGCCTCCTAGTTCTTTCCTCTATTTCCTTTTTCTTTCCTCTTGTCCCACTATCATGCTCAACCTTCATTTGGGTTTCAGTAATTCTTCTCAGTTACATTGCCCTTGATTAAGCCCTACCTGGCCTCTTACACCCTCCTCACCACTGATTTTGGATCATTTGTTGTTCCCTTGTCCCTGGGTTTGTTAACACCACTTCCTTTCCACCATCTCCTCCCTCACACGTCCCCCAGGCACCGTCTTTCCGTTGTTTTCTCCTCCAGATTGCTTATCCCACCTATCTTATCTAGGTAGACCTGCAGAGATAATAATATGCACAGAAACAAGACAGAGCAAAACAAAGCAACAAAAGAAAACAAAACAATAACAACAACAACAAAAAGAAAGAAAGAAAAGAAAAGCCTGTAAATAGTTCAAGGTCTGTTGGTTAATCTTTAGGAATGTTTTCCGGTCGAGTCTGATGGGATGCCACGACCTGGCCCCAAATTCTATTTTTGGTACTCCCTCAGGACTTCCTTGTCCTGCTCCCCTTGCTATTCTGTTGCACGCCCTTAGTGTTTTGCCTCGGTGTGGTAGGGTCAGGTCAGGCACAATTCCCACACTGTGTCTCCAGTGTTATCCCCCGTAAGACTATGGGTCAGTGAGGGATGTTGTATCTCATAGTGGGGCCGGCCATATGGTCCTCTGAGCATTGGCTGCTCTGAGCGGGAATACTGTATTGTCCTCAAGACTTAGTGGGCCAGGATGTGCTCCACTCTCTCTTCCTCCCCCTTCTTTTGCTCTCATGAGCTGTAGCTTCAGTGCTGTCCTCTGAAGTAAATTCTTCTTGAGGGAGGGATGGCTGTCCACCTAGTTGTGATTGGAGACGACACCCTGTATCACTTATTTACAAGGTTTTATATAATGTTTTAGGTGAAAGGTTTTACACAACAAGCCAGCTTCCCATTTAACAGTTTTTATATAAATTATCCTGTGACACTGATTACAATGTTCACAATATGCCAGCATTCTAATTATTTCCATTCTGCCTGTTCTTTTCCATTGATGGAGCATCCTCCTCCTCATTGCTTCTCATCTTTGCATTGGTAAATGTTGACACTTTGGTGTCATTCAGTTGACTGTTGAAGGAAGCACATTTACTCAGAGGGGATACTGTTTATTTTCTAAGCAAATCTATTACTTGGCTGACAGGTGATCTCCATCAGGAGTTTCAGTGTCAAGTTCAAAGAGTACCTTAGGGTGATAGCCTTAGGAGTTCCTTTAATGGTCCAGTAGATCTGGCCTTTTATAGATATTTGAATTTTGTTCTAATTTTTTCCCCATTCAACCATGGACCTTCTATTGAGTCCCTGATAAAACAGTTAGCACTTGAGATAATCTTTAAACTTTCAAACAAAAATATACAACCCTGAAGTCTTAAATTCAAACAGTAGTCTAGTTTAACTAGTAAAAAGTCTTGAGCATTATGCCCTTTTAAGATCTATCTATATGGCACCAAACTGACAAGAGCCTTGAAATGATTAGATAGGAACCTTAAGGGCCCAGTGAGTTGATGTTAGTGGGGAAGGAACAGTTCAGAACAGGTAAATAACCATGGCTGCAGCATTCAAAGAATGCAATCAATGTCACTGAAGTGTACAAGTCTGAACTGTTGAAGAGGTGTATGTTTTGCTGTGTATACTACCACCAACAAAAATACATTATTTTAAAAGCACACATAATTGACATCACAGTATTTTCTAACCAGAGCCCTCTAAAGTCTTCCCATCTGACCTAGAAAAAAATCCAAATTTCTTACCATTACCTATAATACTCTATCTGACCTGATCCTTCTTTCAAATGTCTTTATTATATATTAGAATTAAATATATGATTTTATTTAATAAAGAAATGCTACTGATTAAAAAAATTGAAAATTACAGAAGCAGATCATTTTTTAAAGTATATGTTATTTCAAGAATCCTTATTTCAGAATCTGTAGTTAAGGGAGACTTAACTAGCTTGACTGGAATGGATATGGGAAATGCTAGAAAAATAGACAAATAATAAGTGAAGGCCATGGGGAGGAAGAGGAAATGACAGATAAACATTTCTCTCAGCTACATACTGGTTACTTCTAAACTTGTGTATGTGCACGCACACATGAACACTTAGCAGTTTATAGAAAATACAGGAATTATTCTGGAAGTCTGAAACTGAGCCTAGAAACCCATTCCCCTCATATATACCTGCTGAACACATCCAATTTCTCATCATGTGAATTGAGATGCTGCTGCAACTGCTCCGAGCTTATAAATCGGCGGTTACATTCATAACAGGGCCAATTCTTCTCTTGCTCTCGAAGAACTGCACTCATAGAAAAGAAGTTATAAAGGCTGATGGTCAATAGACACCAGGAAATCCCAAATACCCAGTGTCCCCACTATTCCCATCCAGTTGTAGTCCAAAGAATCCATCACACGAATAGAACATACAATGTCAGCTTACTGGCATTGCTGTTTTGCCATGAAATCAAAGACTAAAATTTGAAAAACAGTTGGTTTTTAAAAACTTTTTCTAATATATTCATATACCATATCACAGGAAGAAATATCCTCACATCATCCCATAACAAACACACACACAACCACATTACACTGGGATGACAAAGGTGCTAAAATGTAAAGTTGTGTGCCCCAAAAACTAGTGATTTAAGCTGCATATTTTATTACAAATAACTTTAAAAACCAAAGCCCAATACAATCCCTTTAGCAAAATGCTCAGAAACAAAAAATTCACTGCCTTCCAGTCATACTGGCTCATAGTAACCCTATGGCACAGGGTAGAACTGCCCCTGTGGGTTTCTGAGACTGTACCTCTTACAGGAGTAGAAAGCCTCATCTTTCTCCCTTGGAGTGGATGGTGATTTAGCGCTACCAAAGGTTAGCAACTTCATATGGGTAACCACTATGCTCCTTAAAATGGTCAGAAGTATCTATTAAAACTGAGTAAATACATACTCAATGCTTTAGCAATTCCACTCTGAGATATATGGCTAGCAGAAATGTATCCATAAATTCAATAAAATAAGTCGGTAAGAATATTCATATTGGCCTTCTTAATAATAGGCCCAAATTGGAAACAACTCAAATTACCATCTATAGTAAAATAGATAATAAAATAATACCAAATAGCAATGAGAATGACCAACCTATGTTATGTACAACAAAATGAATGAATTTCACAAACTAAATGTTGAACAAGATACCCAAAGTGTAACACTTCATTCCATTTATGTAAAGTTCAACAGTATGCATATTTTTAATCTGTGTATTAGAATTCAGATCAGATAATCTTGGGAATGAATAGTAATCAGAAGACAGCACAGAGTGAATTCTAGGACATTGTTAAGATTCTCATTCATGATCTGGGTGCAGGTTACACAGAAGTATTCACTGTGAAAATTCATCAAGTTGTACACTTGTGATTTATACACATTTCTGTATATAGGTTATACTTCAACAATGTTTACATTTAAAGTCAATGCCTGCCTTGCTAAATTGTCAGAGCTGGTTAAATCTAGATAAGAATCATCCTCTGATCTAAGACCAATGTAATATTTGGAGGCTTTCATTATATTAAATACTACTTTCCAGTATGCACAAAAGAAATGTAACATGTCATTGATAGGTAGCTCTAAAAGTCCTATTGGAGTATCTTTTAAAATAAACTGATATAGAAAAATTAGATCACAAAACATACAATTTGAATTCATAAAGGAAATGAGCGATATAAAAGTCCAATCACCTTTCCTTTCTTCCTCAGAAATGTCATGAATTTTCTGATTCACGAACTCAGCATAGGATGCAGCATACCATACCTGCAAGAACATCAGAAAGAACTAAGGGCCATTACCAGATGTTCTTTGCATGCTTAAATTATTTCTCCCACTTACATATTGCAGTTCAAGGCATGATTTTTTTTTCTTGAGTTCTTTCAGTTTAAGATATGTGTTAAATCTTCTCAAGATGTTCTCAAATTTCAAGTGGGCTAGACACAAGGTTGTATTTTGACTCCTGGACTTGTTTTAATTTTCTTCAGTTTCAACTTGAACTTACAGATGAGCAATTTGTGGTCTGTACCCACAGTCAGTTCTGGCCTAGTTTTAGCAGCTGATATTGAGCTTCTCCATGGTCTTTTCTCATAAATGTAATCAATTTGATTTCTGTGTATTCTATCTGGAGTCCTTTTGGGTTGTTGAAAACTAATTTTGGGGGGATGAAGAACTCATGGTTTTGCAAAATTCTATCATGCCTGCTCTGGTTTCGTTTCTATCACCAAAGCCATATTTTCCAATGACTGTTCCTTCCCTTTTCCCCCCAACTTTTTCATTCCAGTTGCTAATAATTATCAATACATGATTGCATGTTTGATTAATTTCAGACTGAAGACACTGGTAGAATTCATCGATTTCCTTGTCACGAGTTTGGTAGTTGGAGCATAAATTTGAAAAATAGTTGCATTGATTGGATTCTCTTGAACGTAGACAGATATAATTCTATCACAGGCAGCACTGTACTTCCAGACAGAGCTTGAAATGTCATTTTTGGTGATAACTGCAACATCATTACTTTTGATTATTTCATTCCTACCATAGCGAAGCATACAATTTTTTTATTCAAAATGGCCAATATTTCACCTCACTAGTGTCTAGAATGTCGATGTATGTGCTTAATTTTTAAGAATTTCCAATTTTCCTAGATTCATACTTTGTGCATTCCAAGTTCTGATTAGTGATATTTACAGCTGTTTTTTCTCATTTTGAGTCGTGGCCTATGTGGCAGTTATGTAATCTACTGTCAACTTGAGGAAGGGGTAGAGTCTAGCCTATCAAACAAGTCACAGCTTGATGACCTCATTTGGAGGCGCAACAGAGATAAATAGCTGACTGGAGGCCAGACTTGCTCTCTCTCTGCTTCGTCTTCCTGTTGACAAGACACATGAAGCTATGCTGATGGAGCAAGAGCCTTTGTGCCAGAGGAGCCACATGGAGACCCATGTCAGCATTGAGATTCTTCCACTGCCACTAGATCCACAAGACTTTCCACCCACTGGCCTGTGATCTTCCTGAATTCAGCATCATTGCATGTGTTGCATGAGTCTAAAGAGGAATTAATAGACTGGTATCAGACATATGGGCTACTATTGGACTTATGAACTTGAAGTGGATAGGGCTAGGGTGTCTTTTCAATATACAATTGATCTTTTATATAAAGCTCTTTCTTATCACATATGAGTGTCTCTGGATTGGTTTCTCAAGTCTACCTGGACTAACACATTATGGTACCTTGGAAGTGGGGTGCTATAGAAACAAATCATAAAGATGGAGAATGGATGCTTGTTCGTCCTCTGCCTCCTGGTAGATCTTCTTTGGCTAGCCAGAGGTCAGATATGGCCATGTGTTTTAGTGGGTTGTTTTCTGGAAAGGACATGGGAAGTTAAAGCTTTGATTATTTTCTTTGTTTGTTGTCTTTGTTTATTCCTGTTTGAAATGGTGAAAATGAAGGTGATTAATGTATATTTTGAGTTCAAGGGGCAAAATATCCCCTTGAATTTCTCAGAGACCATGCTGCTTAATGAAAATGGCTGAGAGAAGGTCAAAATGGCTGACAGAAAGCCTGGCTCTGGCTTGATTCAGTCAGAGGCCTAAGACCATACTTCGTATCCATGTAATAATATAGATAAGGATTAAGATAAGATAGATATGGATTGAACTTGACTGTTTTAAGAATTGAGTTCAGGATCTGGCTTTACTAGATTTATACTGTTTTCTTCTACCTATTGTCACTGATATAATGATTGATAGAAATTATTTGGGGGAAGTATGAAACTAGAGAGTTTGTAAGCTCTTTTAACCACTAATTTGAATCTTCAAATAAGATTAGGGCATGCCTGCAAAGAAGCCTCTGAAAGGCTAAACCCTACCCAGTGTCAGAACATTTGAAGGTGAAGAGACTTGCCTAGGAGGCTGTTGACAGATTGAAGAAAAAGGGAACTCTTATGCTTTTTGAATTTTGAACGAATGGTTTGTGCCCGAGGCGGGAAAAATTTGGAACATGAAGGTATTCTCTAACCCTTCTTCAAGTTGACAGCAACAGTCCACCCCTTAGCAACTTGACAACTTTTACACAAATTGACTTCAACTCATAGCAACCCTACAGAGAGTATCTCCAGAGGAGCAGCTGGATTGGTTGAACCTAGACCTTGGGATTAGCAAACCATTACTTACCAGAACTTCTTAAAGAGGTATCTATTCCTAACTTTTACTGCATGGAGGCACTGTGCAATTCAGAGTTAATGGACTCTTGTGTTCATTATTCACTTATGTTTCATTTATACCAGGACGTAACACAAAGTATTCAAAGAAGATAGTCATGTTGTTAACACAGCTTTTAAACAACACGAAAAAGGATTCACCTCAAAATAATTTTCCCTTAGAATCACAAGCAAAATTTTCATGATCACAAGTTAACAACTAGATAATTTCAAACACAGAATTATTCCCCCAAATAAATCTCCAAAATCAGAAGCCAGTACACACAATTCCATGGGTAAAATGAAGCATTCTGATTAAAAAAGAAAAAGGTCCATATATTAGAAACCTCTTGTACAAAAGCTCCAGCTTCTCAACAACTTCTTCATAGTAGATAATACAACTAAGTGACCCTGTTTTTAATCCTTCCATTACAAATACCAATCTATTCCCTAAACAATTATTTCTTTATCACTGGGCCTAATACCTTCGTATAGGCCTTTCGTGGGCACAAAATCCTGTCTTTATGGGATCAATACTATAGGTAAGTAGTTAAGTACACAAATTGCAAGGAAAGGATTAATTTAGTATGAATCTCACCTCCAAAAGAAAAAAATAGCAAAATCTTACATAATCACTCTTCTAAACAAATGGCATCACTGACTCAGCATGGTACCTTCAGTTCCTGCTTGGGCTCTACATTCTTTATTGTTGTGTAATACACATGGTGGCCATATTGGTAAGCTACCAGGTTCTGTTCCAGGTGGTTCTGGGCTGGGCGCACAAACATCATCCAGTTACAAAGAGTTTCATCAGACAACTCAAACCAGAGATCTTCATGCAAATCCCTTTCTTTTCTGTCCCCTTTATCAAGAGAAACCTGAAACCCAAGAGAAAGCAAGAAGCTACAGTAAAGGAACAAATTTAAAACAAAATCTTCAATTTGATTTACATTCATTTTGTAACAAAAAATCTTGCTCCTTACATTAGCTATATATTGTGGTTTTTCCCTTTGGCTCAAGAAAGATGTTGCAATTGTGACTTGCCAAATGCAAAAGGAAAAAGATAACTTTCTCAAGCTTCATTTATAGGAGAGTTAATTGGAAAAACCTGAACGTCAACAGTCCAACTGTATAGCTTCATTTAAAGTTTCACAGAAGTAACATACCACCCTATTCTATAAATAAACCAGAAAGTGCAAACAAACATATTCTCAGCTCATTGCATCTTTCCTTCTTTTAGGACTCAACTGAATTATTTTTAATCTGTAAGGATATGAAGGATAATCCCCTCTGCATCATAATATCTCTCTTGGTGAAAGAAAAGCAGTGGATCTCTCAAAAAGAACCCACATCCAATCACTCTCCCCTTCGCACTGCCCTTCGTTCCATAGAGCAACTCTCCAAAAAGCAGACAGAAGAGAGGGCTAGAGAATCAAAAGCATCAAATATACAGAAAAGTTGTAACATAAAAATACCTTATCAAACATTGCACACTTCTTTAAAAATTCAAGACAAAACCTGTTGTAATAATGTCATCAAAAACTGAAACACTATTTTCCTGAAAACATTTTTGGCACACAGCAGATTACACCACTCTATATAATTCTTTGTATATTCCAGTCAACATAAATACCCTCCCACCACCAAAAAAAAGCATAAGAAATCAGCTGCTAAGCATTTAAGAACTCAAACTCTCAGAATTATTCATAACATCTCAGAGGACTGGAACAGCAATCTCCATTTAAATGATGAGAGAAAACTTTATTTAAAATAAATTAACCATAGAAAGAAAAATACTACCCAACAAATAAATACCAAGGAGTTGAAATAAGAGACTCAACAGGGAATTGTTAAAAATGTGATAAAGTACAAATTACCTTTAGGTGAATGTAACAGTCTTTCAGCTCAGACTCCCTGACAAGGGGTCCCTCCACAGGGCCAAACTGGGTGCGCTTGGGAATGCGTCTCTTGGAAAAGACCCCTCCCAGGAACCTGTCTATGTAGAGAACCAGGGGGAGACTGGCTCTGGCTCTTGTGAGCACTGGCCGATTGGGGATTGGATGCAAAGGACCATGCTTTGGGCATACTGACGAATGTGCATTGTTGCACTCCTCACACCCTGCAAAAGAAAGAAAATCTTTAAAGAACAGCCAAATTTTCAACACGTCTTGATTTAAGGTAAAATGTTCTAACATGAAAAATCCTCAAATCTAAGTTTGCAAAGCAAAATTCATCTAACTCCATTAAATCGTAATACATCAGGTTTCATAGATCAATAAAATCCTATTATTGTCCTTTAACATCAGACAGAGTCAGTTTATGCTAGCCCAAAATAGTAAGTTAACTGTGATTTGTTTTTCTGCTGAAATTAAAATCCCACTATTGTTGCTTGTTGTTATCATTGGTGTCCAGTCAACTGGACTCATAGGGGGTCCCATGCACAAAGGCATGAGACCAGTGTGATCTAGAGGGTTTCCACGGACTGACTGTAGGCAGTAAAGTGCCAGGCCTTTATTCCTAGTCCATCTTCGTGTGGAAGCTCCACTGAAGCCTCAGTTCAGTGTGAGAGCAGCATGCAAGCCTCCACTAACGAGCGTTGGTAATTGCACTTGAGATACATTGGCAAGGACTTAAATCAGATCTCCTCCATGGAAGGGGAGAGTTTTATCAATGAAACCACTACTGCCTCCAGAATTAAATTAGTGACAGTTACAGCATCTGAAAAGCAAAAAGGGCTCAGTATGCTCAATAATGAGAAAAAATAGAAACAAAGCTATTAAAAATATATACAGCTGTAAAGAAGATGAAGTGAGATGATGTATGGATAGCAATTAGCAGTGTCTGTCAAATAGGAAGGGTAACCCAAAATATGAAACCCAATTCTCTTACTGCGGTTAGCCTAATCTACACCAGGTTTTCCTTCTCCTCCACCTCAGTCTCTGTGGAATTTTTCTAACTTGCTACATTGCTCTGAGGCAAACAATATTTCCCGAAACAGCCACCAAATAATTCTGAGAATCATCCCAAGAAATGCTAATTGCTGCTGTTACCTGAGGCATCTTGAAACTGGCCTAAAACAACTTCACAAACACCATATTGTTCTCCCTGCTTGCTTATGGTCAATAAGTGCATCCTGTGATTATCCTGAAACTTGAGTGATGTAAAACATCTGTATGTGACTCCCCTAGGGTGTGGATTCCAAAGTAAAAAGTAGATAATCTCTATGTATTCTGATTTCAACTGAGATTTCATCAGGACAGAGTGTGTTGCCATCCAATACCCTGCTGGTGCCACCTTCTAACAAATTTCAGACACGGGAGGGAGTGAATTGGCTGTGCTGGTCCATCCATGCAATGAACCCTTACTAGCAGTAACAGAGGGCTCAATACATGTGAATAATGAGTCCTTGAGGGGCACTAACTGTTAACTGTTCAGCCACTGACCAAAATGTTGGCAGTTCAAATACACCCAGAAGTGCCTTAGAAAAAAATCAATGGTGATCGACTAGAACCAACAGCGATCAACTTCCTAGCCGTTAAAATACACACAGCTCTTTTCTGACACACATGGGGCCATCATGAGTCAGAGATGATTCTATAGCAACTATATTTGGGGTTTTTCTTTTTTGTTATGTTAACACACGTAATTGCAAGAAACAACACATGGCTTCCGCTGAGGATTAGACTGTCCTGGACTTACATAAGTCATGAGGGTCAAAGGGCCGAGGAGGATCTGGTTCCCAGTCATCTAGGTCTGTGTCTTCCCCATCTTCCTCCTCATCTTCATCAGTATCCTCATCCTCATCATCATCCTCTTCCTCTTTTGCCTCCAGTCTCCCAATGGGATTCTGTAGAGTTGTTAACGGATCGGAAGCATCCACACTCTCAATGGAGGGTAACACTTGGTTATGTACTGGTAATGAGGCCTGAACAAAAGATTTAAGATATAAAGTTAGGAGATACTTCTCTTTAGCCACCTGGGAGAGAGAAAGAGAGAGAAGAGAGAAAGCTTTTTCAAGCCCTGGAAAAAGTATTCCCATTTATTGAATGTAATGAGAAGTCTGACTTCATTTTCTTTTTTAACTTCATTTTCTGATGTTTAATTGCTGACAACTTTTACACCTTTTCGCTGTACCCCACATCAAAACAAATGAAGAAATCATGGATGCACCCTCCACTGACACTGGAGGTAGATTTAAAACCATGCAAGCCCCCGCCTGCATGTTGAACTTTTTTTTTTTTTTTGCATGTTGAACTTTCACCCAGCCCCCAGCCCTGGACCAAAGTAAAACTCTCAGACCATTTGGTCTAGCCTGTTCTTTCAGAGACCTGAATTAGGGGAGAAACAAACACTTCACACCTGCGTGTGTTTATGTGCGAGAGAAAGAGAGACTGAGGGCCATAAATTGGGTGACTGCTACTCTATCAAATATATACACTGACAAAAAATCGTCTCTTAAAAATTCTCCCACTGCCTAAATATTATAAGGTTATATCCCAGCCTCTTTTAATACAATGTTATTTCTACTGCACAATTAAAACCATGAGATATACTTCTTAGACAATAAATGTATATAAAAGATGTTTGCAAAGACATACAGGATGAACAAGTGTGGGGAAAAGAATAAGACGATATGCCCAGGTATCTGTATAGGATTGACAGAGGACATTTGTCATGGGCATTTACCTTTGTTTCACCCATGAATGTGGTGAAGCTATAAGGACAAAGTTATGAAAATTCTTAGACACAATCAAATACCTTGAAGAAATGAGTCATTGAGCCTGGGAGCTCAGGACCACAGTCTTAGGGGACACCAAGGTCAATTGATAAAACAAAGTCTATGTGTTGTACATCCTACTTTGGTGAGTGGAGATTAGTGTTTTAAAGGCTCATGAGCAGCCATCTAGGGTGCAACCATTTGTCCCTCCATATCTGCAGGAAAGAAAAATGATGAAAACTAAAGTTACATGGAAACAATGGACTAATGGGCTACATGAACCTCAGTCTCCACCACCCTGATACCAGAACTAGATGGTGCCCACCTAGCATTACTAACTGCTCTGAAAAGGATCACAACAAAAGGTTGTAGACACAGGAAAAAAAACAAACAACTCTGACTAGCACAGAGCTGATGCTGACTCATAGCAACCCTATATGACAAGGAAGAACTGCTCTTTCCAGTGTTCAAGTCTGTAACTTTTT